AGAGAGAGAGAGAGAGAGAGAGAGAGAGAGAGAGAGAGAGAGAGAGAGAGAGCGTACATGATTTAAGTTTCAGTAGAACTAAACATTAAAATAACGAAGATGAAATATCGTCGCTAATGTTGGAAATAGGACAGCGCGCTTCACGATAGTTTAGTTCGTAATGGAAGCATCACGAGTCACACCGAACACATCGCGCGGATCATACCGGTTCGGTAAAACAGAGATCATTGAATGTTTTTCAGCAAGAGATACAGAGATGACACTTTGTAACATTCCGTTCAATACGAAGTATTCCCATAGTGACACAATCGCACTGTTTGATACAGCAAAAGTCTAAGTTTCGGCTTGTAAAGCGTATCGGTACCAATACTTCAGAAAGTGAATATGTTTAACATATGGTAATTATACTAATTCTTTAACATATGTATGTATGTGTAACTATAAATATTTTACACGGTGCAGCACAATGTAATATAAAGTATCCTTGCTGGATGACACTCATATTGAAAAAAAAAACGCATGTTCTCAGCTGAAGTCGGAGGTGACTTTCCTCGGGGAAATTTCAGCGGGAATCTAATTATTCGTTATTTTAGGGATCAATCTCCGAACTCGTTCGACGGAACTTCTTTGTTATCGGTCCTCACATTCGCGACATTGCGCCGGGTTTATGCACCGAGGCAGCGCACGCGCGCTGTCTCAGAAGGGCGTCCGGCGTGAATCGAAAGAACGCGCTTACGAGCGTGGCATCCCATGTCGGTCAGAGTCCGAGTTATTTGCAGTCGCGCGATTGCACCCGGGATCGTGGCCTCTTTTTGCGCCAAAGACGAGAGGAACCAGAAGCATCGGCGGACGCGAGACAGCGCTCCCCGAAGGCGAGCTTTGTTGTTCCGAGCGGCGATCGCGTCCTTCGTTCCGCTTCGGAACGCGTGTAATATGCGCATCGGTTCTAAATTTGCTCCGGTAAGTGCGATCGCGTTAAGGAATCGCGAGTGTGCGTGTTCAGTAACGAAATGAACGTTGCAATTGCAATTGCAGTCACAATTTCACTCGGTAAATGAACAATTTGGGGACCATTTTATTATTTGCCGTTCTCGATAGCCGGGTGTCAGATTGGTGCAAAAGATTGGTCAAACGAAATGTAAAAACGAAATTATCCAATTAGAACCGGTGCGAAAGGTCAATAATTTTTACGAATGAAATGAATATCAACTTTATTTTGTTCGAACTAACATTTTCCATATTTTCCTTCTAAATATCTAAATCTTCTATGAGAATTTAGTAGAAAAATGACAAATCTCTTGCAATCATATAGTTGTAACATGAAAACTCTTCTAATTCGTCCGCAATGTGTTAACGAAAGGACAAGGGCCTGTCTTCTATTTTTTCTCATTTTTTGCAATAAAGCGCGATATCAATCGACACGAGCGTGTGTGGCCCTTCTGAAGTCGCGAAGTCTCTTGCAGCCCGAAAGCGTCCGCCGACGATGGCGACATTAATACGATACGCGTGTACAACGTAGTAGCGACCTATCTTTAGAGGCGAGCTATCTCGAGCCAGGAGAAAAGAAACGCGGGACGATCGAAGCGAATACAGTGTGCGCACGAGCGCATCTGCATGCACGAGATAGTGTTCCGATCTCGCCTGCGGAGTACAATCCGCACGCATAAGGGGGAAAGAGGGAAAAAAGCGAGTCTTCGACGCGACGAAGCGGAGTGGGAGGATGACTCTCTTCTGGAAGACGAGTCGCGGTTTAAGGGGACTGGAGGGTCAGATTGCCTAAAAATCATGCTTGTTTTTTCACAATTTTTTACGACAAACTGAATGAATATGCGAAAATGTTATTTTGACGTATACTTATACAACATATAAAAAGAAGAAAAATATAATTTTGATGATCAAATACTCAATATAAGTGCATGTACATGTAGTTAAAATATATTTCGTTTTTCTTTTCAAGGTCGTCATTTTGCATATCTTGACTCTTGGTGGTTGAATTTTAGGTAGAAAATTTCCGTAAGCTTGTCGTTATCGGGTGAACCGATAACTA